TCATGCCTTGTATTAACAGTTCATAGTAGGAGTCTGTCTTATCAAAATTATTACTTTTTTGTTGTAGTATTCAACGGTTTGCTCAGTTTCCCCCCTCAATGAGTTGTAGTGCGTCCATTGCAATGAATTGGTGTCGAAGACAAGCAGGGTGTGGTGTCCGCCATCCGTTATTGGTATGAACACCTTTGAAGTTTTCCCTATGCATTCAAGGAGTTTGACAAAATATTCATCGAATGTTCTTGGGTGCATTTTATCTGTGAGATACCTCTGCAAAATTAATAGTTTCGGCATTAGAGAGAATGTGAAAAGTATAGGAAGATGAATAATTTGTGATTTTTACTAGAAGTAATGGGATAGCTATGATCTTACGTATGCGTAGCACGTGATGTATGCATTTTGTTGTCTTTTAGGGTCCTTCTTTTCATCATGATGAAGTATCTCGGCATACGCATCTATGATTTGTCCATAAATTTCAGTATCTCTTAATAAGCTTTCTATGTCATCTTTGAACAAAATGCTTGTCCCTTGCCAAAATGCAGTGCTGTAACAGTATTTGTAGTTAGAAAAAATAGCAACAAAATTGAAAGAACTGTTCAATAAAGTTCCAGTATAGGGTAATAATACTGCTTGTTTCCTAAAAAACCTTTTTCTAACGCATGTCTACCATTGTAAAGTTCCAGTATATGGCAATAACACTGCTTGTATCCTATGAAATCCTATATCCAATGCATGTCTATCACTGCAAAGTTCCAATATAGGGTAATAACACTGCTAGATTCCTCTGAAATCCTATAACTAATGCATGTCTACCCCCTGTAAAGTTCTAGTATAGGGTAATAACACAATGAAATCCTATTTTCTAATGCATGTTCAATAATAGCATCTTGCATTGAAAATGAATGAAACACATTGCCTTACCCATCAATTGAATTTTTCCAGTAATTTCTCAGCTTTTCTTGTGATAGTTCATCCAGCATGTTGTAGACCTGATATGTATTCCATTGCAGGAATGAACCTTTGGCCCTCTTCTTTGATTTGGCTGGTTTTTTTTGTGCCTTTCTCTTTTGTGCTCTCGTCTCTGCTTTAGGGAATGAGGAATCTGGTTTTCTTGATTTTATCTTTTCTGCTTCACCTTCTTTCTTTTCTTCTTTATCCTCTTCACTCTGCAGTTCTTGCGCTAATTTTTGATCTCTCAACGAGACAATAACAGCTTCCTTTTCATTAATAATGTCCAAGTAGGAAATCTTCTCTGCAAGAAGTTGATCATTTTCTAGCTGCAGCTTTGTCATGTAGGATTTTTCCTGATGAACATCTAATTGTATGACTTTCTTGTGATGTGCTGCTTCCTTAACCATCTTCTGCAGTTGCTGCTGATGCTTCAATAATTCTTCTTTTTCATTGTACAGCATCTGAATCAATTTATTCTTTTTAATGCAAGATGCTATTGCATCACGGATCTTTTGATGCTCTCCTTTCTTCGTCCAATATTCAGCAGCATTATTGATCGCCATCATATACTCTTTTGTAAGCTGTATTTCATCCTCCTTGTATTCTGGTACTGATCTAACAATTTCCTCAAACAACGTTGAATTCCGGTATTCTGGGATTTCATTTTGGAGGTCTTCTTGTACCTGGTGGTGTTGCTGGACTTGATGTTCAGCAGCATCATCATGGTCTCCATTCACTTCAGCATCCTCCTCCTCTTCATTTTCTTCTTCAGCAGCATCACCATGCTCTTCATTCACCTCTTCAGCAGCATCATCCTTGTCTTCACTCACTTCTTCAGCAGCATCATCATCATGCTCTTCATTCACTTCTTCAGCACCATCATCCTCCTCTTCATTCTCTTCTTCAGAATCATCATCTGGCTCTTGAGCTTTAGTGCTTTTTATCTGTTTGTTGAGTAGAGTTAGTATTAAGAGTGCACTTCTATGACATGGTATTAAGAGTGTAATTCTATGACATGGTTTTAATAGTGTACTTCTATGAAATGGTATTCATAGTTTACCTCTGTGACATGGTATTCATAGTTTACTTCTATGACATGGTATTAACAAGTATGTACATGACATGGTATTAACAATGTTGTCATATCAGCTGCAGATTATTTGAAAGGAAAGAGTACCTTTATCTGGTTGTTCTTTAGATGATGAAGCTTCGCGCTGAGTTCTTGAAGACTCCATTTGACAGCAGCTGGTGTCATTTGTTCTCTTCCAGGAATTGGAGTGAGCAGGTTAGATCTTTGACACAGCCAATACTGCACAATATTTTTTTGAAATATCACGTGTCAATTCATATCATTAGAATAATGCTACGAATTTGCAGTTTGGAGATTTGTGTTCTTACCAGTATTAGGATTAGGCAGCCACTCACGCTTGGCTGCTTTTTTTTGTCCTTCTTGTTCTTCTTTGCTTGTTCTAATCCAAAATACATGTAGTCCAAAACTCCTCGAGCCCAATTATATTTCCCCATCTCTTCTAAGGTGTCTATTGTGGTTGTATATGTCCAAGCAAGTGTACAACCAGAGTTGCAGAATAGATTGGTCATGAAGAGTTGTAGGATTATCAATCTTGTTACATCCATAGCACCCTCTTCTGTTTCATCTTCAAGTGCTAAATTCAAGCACTTATCAATTGAAGTCTTTGTTATCTTCTTATACCGCGCGAAGTATTTCTCTACAAACTGCAATTTTGGCCTTGTTGAGGTTGTTGTGCTTGGTAACTTCTTGCCACTGTTTGGCAAGCCAAAAATTTCAGCCACATCATTGCTTTTCATCTCGCTGTCAACATCATTAAACTTGAACTTCTTTGTCTTTGTGTCATAAACTTGTATGAGTCTCACAATGTCGTAGTTAGACTTCATGCACTCTACCTTTGTTAACCTTCTCTGGATATATGCTTCTATTAATGCCCAAAAAGGTGTCTTTGATAGCAGTGTTAAGACATCGTGCCGACGTTCAAGTCTCTGTCTGATGTTGTCAATTGTTGTTGCAAAAGAGAGCATGTTGCTCTTGATCTGCACGTAATTTAAGACATCGTGCCGACGTTCAAGTCTCTGTCTGATGTTGTCAATTGTTGTTGCAAAAGAGAGCATGTTGCTCTTGATCTGCACATAATTTGGGTCCTCCCATCTGCTTGGCTTCTTGTTTGTTGTTGTTTTGGATGATGACTGTTGGCCTTTTGTTTTGGAGTTTCTTCTGGCTCTTTCTTTCTTCATCTTTTAATTGGTATACCTGCATTAGATATAGAAACACGACAGTAAAGTATCGGTGTTAATACCCCATACTGGAACTTGACAGAGGTAGACATGCCTTAGAAATAGTATTTCATAGGGAACAATCAGTGTTATTACCATATACTGGAACTTGACAGTGGTAGACATGCCT